TTTTATGCGTAATATTGTGAATATAATTTTATCCATTTTACCTTACTAATCTTCATACAGAATGGAAGTCAGAGTTTTTTTTTAGGATGTGTATTTAGTTAAACAAATCATTGCAGGCCCAGATACCTTTTAGTTCATAAGTATGGACACATTTTGTAGTGTTAAATACCTCTTATATATGGCTATTTTTGGTTTAAAGCAAGGAAAGTCAAGCTACAGGATAAGAGATGATGAATTGCTATATACTGTAAGCTCTGAGTATTTGTTGCTCAAAGCTATATTCCATCCAGTCTTTTGGCATGTTGCCAGCACATTTTAGTTCTCTTACTTCATATTCTTTAGAGAGGCTGTTATGTAGCCTGATACTACTACCACCAATTTCTAGTTTTGCTACTTAAGCTGTTTGTGAGCTGACCTCACCATACTGCTTTGAGAACTATGATGAAAGTTACGACTGGGGAATGATCTGTCTGAATATTTGGAAGTGTTTGTCTTTGCATCTTTCTAGCATGCAAGGAGGGAATAGGCAAATCTCAAATGTTATGTGAATATTTCTTATATTTTTTTTCCATGGGTAAAAATGTTTATAATTGCTTGCTTGGGGGTTTTCTTCCTTTTCTACTTTGCAAGGTAGAGGATGAGTATTTTTAAAATGAGAATTTACATTAGAAAGTGCACTTAAATGCCATTTAACCATGCTAGTGTTTGAAAGGACCATCATTAGAATAAATGTCAAACTTATGAGCAATAAGTATGATCCTAACCCTGATTTGATGTCAGATCTATTATTTGAACACCCTTTTTCCTTGAGCATTACATAAATAACATTTTTTTCCAAAAGAGACAAATTAGCTTTTTATTTTTTTAATATAAGAGGAACTTGAGTAGATTAGCCTTTAAAAAGCAAAATTAGTGCCATTTTAAAACTTGAACCTAACTAAAAATAACTTTGTACCATATTTAAACTAATTTAGAGGTATGCCACCATTCTGTGGATATTTTTTACATTTAAGGAACTAAGAATGAACAATGGTATAAATCTGCCAACTAGATAAGTGTCTAGCAATGCAAAAATTGCTGTTTGGGAGCGGTGTTACTATTTCTACTTGAACTAATTTAATGGTTGATCTCTAACGGGTGAAAGATCCAGAAGTGTAAAACGTAAGATAAATGTAGCATAAGTAGAAAGTGAAACAGTAAGTGTATTCCTGGTAAATAACAAATTAAAAAAGAAATCTAAATAGTTATGCAGTTTTTCCACTGATGAGGTTGTAGAAATCTGAACTCGTCATGACAGCTTGGCTGAACTGCCCCTTGTTCAAAGTGTTATGTTGGTTTTGTTGTGATTGTATTTGTTAGTTTGGATATTGACCTATAATTTGAATCGTGGTATTTAGTAAATGCAGAATGAAATATTTGCAGCTTCCCTTAGTTATGTTAAATATTAATAGCAAGAGGTATGCTCATGCTGTTTCAAGTTTTGCAACCCTTTTATTTTATTTTTTTATTTTATTTTATTTATTTATTTATTTATTTTTTTGAGACGAAGTTTCGCTCTTGTTACCCAGGCTGGAGTGCAGTGGCGCCATCTCGGCTCACCGCAACCTCCGCCTCCTGGGTTCAGGCAATTCTCCTGCCTCAGCCTCCCGAGTAGCTGGGACTACAGGCGTGCGCCACCATGCCCAGCTAATTTTTGTATTTTTAGTAGAGACGGGGTTTCACCATGTTGACCAGGATGGTCTCGATCTCTTGACCTCATGATCCACCCATCTCGGCCTCCCAAAGTGCTGGGATTACAAGCGTGAGCCACCGCGCCCGGCTGCAACCCTTTTATAATTTGATGTAGCTGTAGAGTTGATCTTCCACTCAATTTGAGGTAATTTTAAAACTGAAGAAATGGTAATACTATATTTTATTGCTAAGAGGTTAGGAAATGAAATTTAAACAATCTTAGTATAGTAAATATTGATATTGTTGGTAATACTGTTGATATTATAGTAAAAATTGTTTATATTGTTGCTCTAAGCAGAATCAAGTTTGAATATTTTATTAAGTTCATACTACAGGGGAAAAATAATGTGTGAGATTACTTTTGGTGTGAGAGTCACATTGCAAATGCTAATTTATAAATTCCTTTTATGCCCTTTTTAAAGGTATTTATCTGTATTTTAGAGAAAGGGAAGCAAAGATAGTTGTCAAAAGTAAGATGAGGTTATTTTTTAGATTAAAAATTTTTTTTTTTGGATTTTACTTGAAAGGAAGAGAAGTTCTTGGTGTTCAGCTGCTTTTACTAATAGAACATGACCCACCCTTCTTGTGTTTTTATACAGAGCCATTTAAAGTCATGGCTTTCATTGCCCAGAGTTCTAAGTGAAAACAACAACAACTTTTCCTGTTGTGCTGGGAAAAATGACCTCAGTTTTGTTGACTTTGAATATGTATATAACCCCAGATGGGCACACTCTCCTCTTACACAAATTTAGTACTCTGGGGAGAGGAAATTTTTAAATAATATTCTTAATTTCCTTGAGTTGTCAGTGATTTAAAAACTTGGTGTTCATTATAACTCTGCTCTACTGCTTTCTAGAATGACATCACTGTTTTTGTGCCAGAGTGAGTTAAACATTTGCGTAAGAATTACATAGTCCTGTTTCTTCTGCAGACAAGTACTTTTTAGTAATTCTTTCCCTGTTTCTCCTCCCATATGCCCCAGAATCTAAAGATTCTCACCAAAACACAGGAAATTAATTTTGAAAATGTTATGCTAATTAGACGTCTTGTTAAAAAAGGGAAAAGAAGTCTGTTATCTTGGAGAGTACAAACATACTAAAATAAACTTGTTATGGGGTTACTTATTTTAGGCTTTGGACTTGTTTTAAAAACATAAATGTAATTGATTCATTTAGCTACTTAGTGGACTTTGCTTGCTTCTGCATTTCCTGACATCAAAAGACCTGGCCTTTTTTTTTTTTTTTTTTTTAACTGACAAAGGATTAAACAAAATCAACCTTTGTTGTATGAAAGTAGCAGTCGTTTGCAGGATACTACAGTGTGTTCCAGTTGATGCTAAGCAACTGAGTGAAAGGTGAAAAGTACCATTTGCTTGCTGTTCATGTATAAAAAAAATTAAGGTAGCAGCAATCTGAATTGGTACTTTGTCACTGAGGAATTGTGTGCTGTAACTAACGTAACTAGCTGAATATCTCCAAAGACAGTCAATTTTAAGCCATACCAAAAATTTTCTGATTGTAGCTGCCACTTACCTCATAGTGCAAAGTTAGGAATAATTTACTATCTAATCTGAGAGAGAGGACTGAAATGTTCATGTCAAGGAATGTAATCTGCTTAATGAAATATCCAAGAAGGCGCTCAGAAAAATATTGACTTAGAAGGTGAGTCAGTTCATACATATATGAACACATACTTAGTAATGCCTTTTGTCATTCTTTTCTTTCTATTAATATCAGGAATTACTGTTAACTGTAAATATCCTTTACTCTGATGAAATAATTAGGATTGTAATGTGTTATATGTACCATGAGTGCCCATGCTTTTGTGAAGAGTGTATGCTCATTTTATTTATATAATTTAAGTTCAAATGGGCCTGTCTGGGAGAATGTTATTTCATTGTTCTGGCCAGGAGCTTTTATTTCCAACTCTTGTTTTGCAGTAGATCAGTTATCTTGAAATGGACTAGATTACTTGGAAGCCACTATCCTTTTTGCTTTGAAGAAGACTTGAAATATTCTGATACCAAAATTTGTACAGCAACAGGAGCCTAGTATCAAAGATATGTCTTTAAATAGATAAGAACATGATTGCCCTAAGCCCAACTTTTATATTGGCTCAGAGTAAAAAGATTTGGATCACAATATGCATCCTGTATGTGTGTGTCTGACTGAGACTTTTGCATTTATGACAAAGTATATTTATATTTCTCTATGACATTTTGCTTTTGTACCAGGAGTACTCTGCTATCTGTCCTCCAATACTCACTGAATAGTAATTTAAAAATATTTTATCTGTTACTATATTTTAATTTGCTAGTAAAATAAAGACTGTATCTTGGAAAAAGTTGTGGAATAACTCAGTGCATATATGTGGAAATGTTTGGGGTTTGATGAAGCCAGAGTAAAAGTGGTAAACATCAGAGGTGCTTACTTACCAGAATACTTAGAATACCAAATAGTAACCCGAAATAAACATCATGTTTAAAATAGATTAACATACTACTGCTTCCATTTCAGGAGTAATAGTTTTGATTTAAAAATAGGCAGTAATTTTTAATTAGTACAAATTGAACATAGCAGTGTGTTACTCTACTAGAACAAGGAATGCTTATATGGGATTGGGTTCTGGAAGTTACCATGATTCTCCAATAATTCCAGTGAGTTACCAGTCCTCCTCTTATTTGACCTATCAGCAGCATTTGGTCCTGTTGATCTTTCTTCCTTGAAGCACTGTCTTGGCTTGCAGGATACCACTTCTTGGTATTCCTCCTACCTCACTGTCCATTCCTTCTCAGTTTCCTTTACTGTCTTCATTTATTTTGCATTTGTAAATATTAGATTGACTTTGGGCTTAGCCCTTGGGTTTTTTTCTTTCTTTCTTTTTTTGACTATATGTACTCAGTCTCTTGGTAATCTCATCCAGGAGTATCTCTAAATACGGTTTTATATACCGACAACTCCCAGATTTTTATCTTTAACTTAGACCCCTTCCCTGAACTCCAGAGTTATATATCTAGCTGTCTAGTTTACATCTTCATTTGATGGTCTGATAGGCATCTCAGAATTAACTTGGCCAGAATAAAATTTTTGCTATTTGCAAGCAAACCATCTCTGCTCTCAGTATTACTGAGTGGCTTTTCCATCCTTCAAGGACTTCCATATCTTGGAGTCATCTTTCGACCCTCTCTTTCAATCTTATATTCAGTTCATTAGCAAATACTGTTGACTGTATCTTTAAATTTTGTTCAAAATCTGAAGACTTCTACCTATCACCACCCTGGTCTAATTTACCATTGGTTTATAGCAGTTGCTTCCTAAGTAGGCTTCTTGCTTCTATCCTTAACTTTTAACCTTTTATAGTCCATTTTCAACTGGTCAGCCAGAGTAATCCTTTTTTTTTTTTTTTTTTGGAGACAGAGTCTCCCTCTGTTGCCCAGGCTGGAGTGCAGTGGCGTGATCTCACTACAGCCTCCGCCTCCCGGGTTCAAGTGATTCTCCTGCCTCAACCTCCTGAGTAGTTGGGATTACCGGCACCCATCACCATGCCCGGCTGATTTTTGTATTTTTAGTAGAGACGGGGTTTTGCCATGTTGGTCAGGGTGGTCTCGAACTCCTGACCTCAGGTGATCCACCCGCCTCAGCCTCCCAAAGCAGAGTAATCCTTTTAAAATGTAAGTCAAGATCACTATAGTCAAAATCTTCGGATGGCCTCCCATTTCATCAGTGAAAAAGACAGTCTTTTGCACTTGACAGTTTCTCTGCCTGAAGCCTTTTTCCAGATGTGTCCATTGCCTACCCTTTCTCTTCTTTCAGGTTGTTTTGAAAAAGGCAATGAAGCCTTTCATGACCATCCTATTTAAAAGTATGCACCTAACCAGCACACACATTTATTTGCCTCTTGTTGGCTTTATTTTTCTCCGTGGTACCTCACCATCCGACAACAATGATACTAATTGTCTTTTTTTTTTCTTCTACCCTCCATGGTATTAGATGTCTTTCTTAAAGAATAAACATTATTGAGATATAAGTTATATAGAGTAAAATACATTCAGTTTAGGAATACAGTTGGGTGAATTTTGACAAATATAGCCACCACCCCAATCATGATAAAGAACATTTTCATCACTCTAAAAATTTCTTTCTTGCTTCTTTCAAGTCGGTCCTCTCTTTTCTTAATCCTGGCTCGAGGTTGCTAATCTGATTTCTATTACTGTAGATTAATTTTTTCTGTTTTATAACTTCATATAAATGCAATATAGAAATGAAGTCATTATAGTATGTACTTTTACTTAGTGTAATGCTTCTGAGATTTACTCATGTCGTATAGGACAAGCCTCAGGGGCCGTATGCTGGGCTTAGCTTAAGATCCACTTATTTTGGTACTCTGGCCCTGCCTTTCTTCCTGTGCTTGCCAGCTTCATCTTCAGTTTGGCTACAGGAGTTCCAGGGATTTTATTGAGGCATGACAACATCCAGAGTTAGAAAGTGCCATGTTTGGCTGGCCGCGGTGGCTCATACCTGTAATCCCAACACTTGGGGAGGCTGAGGCCGGTGGATCACGAGGTCAGGAGTTCCAGACCAGCCTGGCAAACATAGCGAAACCCTGTCTCTGTCAAAAACACAAAAATTAGCCAGACTTGGTGGCGGGTGCTGTAGTCCCAGCTACTCAGGAGGCTGAGGCAGGAGAATCGCTTGAACCTGGGAGGCGGAGGTTGCAGTGAGCCGAGATCATGCCATTGCGCTCCAGCCCAGGAAACAGTGTAAGATTCCCACTCAAAAAAAAAGAAAGTGCCATGTTTTCTGGTGTCACCTTCATGGGAACACCTTTTCAGAAGTCTTCTAATGGTCTCCCCCTTATATTTCATGACAGAAACTGAGTCACATGCTTAGGCTTAAATCTTGGGGGATGCAACTGCAATGATTGGGTAAGGCCAATCAAGATTCAGCCTAGAACTCACTTCCCTGATTTACTCAGGGAAGTAGAGGGCACCCAAACAAAATTGGGGCTCAATCAACAAAGAAAAGGAAATGGATATGGGGTAGCTAAACAGTAGTGTCTGCCAAAATCATCAGCAATCATTATAGTGATCAATAACTGAGGGCTAGCTATGTGAAAACTGTTGATATATTTAGGGTGAATTAGGCAGAGTTTAGTCCAGAAGCACAGGCAGCCAGCAAGCTATTCAGGAGATTAGTAATAAGAGCATAAATTAAAGTGGTGGAAGTGGAATAGAGGTGAAGGATCAGTACGAGAGAAAGTGATAAATTGGGAATATAGGGAGGATATCTGCAGTTTTAGGACATGCATATGGTGATATTGATGGAAGCTGAAGTTGAGATGGGAAACTGCTTGTAGGGAATGCTGGTATGGGTTGATAAAATGAGTTTAACTTGGACTATGTTGAATTGGAGGTGATATGGAACATCCAAGTACAAGCGACCATAGAGCCTGGACGTAGTGCAGGTGATAGTGGTAGATATTATTTTGAGGGTCATTAAGTAAGTGGAGGCCTTGAAAATAAATGAGTTCTCTGAGTGACTTTGGGCAGAGAGAGTTTAGTAGAGAGCCTTGCATACTGCTTATAGTATGGGCACTGGAGAAGAAAGAGGAAGGAGGGATTTATGGATACAGTAGTTAATGAGGGAAACATGGATAGCATAGTACAGAGATGCAGCAGCATCCGTCGGAGGTAGATTTGAGCATACAGTGGTCTATAGGTTTCTTGTGGCTATGTATGGCAGGGCCCAGGTGCTTATTTCGGTATTATAATCTAGTACTACGTTATTTATTTTGTTGTTCGAATAATTCTGCTTTGACCATTGGGAGCTCTTTGAGATTTTCTCCTGTGTTTTTAAATTTTTTTCTCCCAGTCTGGAATGCAGTGATGTGATCGTGGCTTACTGTACCCTTGACCTCCTGGGCTCAAGCAGTTCTCTACCTCAGTCTCCCAAATAGTTGGGACTACAGGCATGTGCCACCAAACCCAGCTAATTAAAAAATTTTTTTTGTAGAGATGGGGTTTTGTCATATTGCCCATGCTGGGCTTGAACTCCTGGACTCAAGTGATCCCCTCACCTCAGCCTCCCAAAGTGCTGGGATTATAGGGGTGAGCCACTGTGCCTGGCAACATTATTATTATTATTATTAATTTGAGATGGAGTCTCCCTCTGTTGCCCAGGCTGGAGTGCAGTGGTGCAATCTTGGCTCACGGTAACGTCCGCCTTCCAGGTTCAAGCAATTCTCTCATCTCAGCCTCCTGATTGCCTGGAACTACAGACATGTGCCACCACTTCTGGCTAATTTTTTAAATTTTTAATAGAGACGGGGTTTCATCATGTTTTCCAGGCTGGTCTCGAACTACTGACCCCAGGTGATCTGCCCACCTTGGCCTCCCAAAGTGCTGGGATTATAGGCATGTGCCACCGGCCATGGCTGGCAACTTTATTTTTTTAGAATAGTTATAGGTTACAGAAAAATTGAGCAGAAAAAACAGAGAGCTCTCACTCCCTTTCCACTCTCTCCCACACAGTTTTGCCTCTTATTAACATGTTGCATCAGTGTGGTACATTCATTACAATTGACGAAAGAATATTGATAAATTATTGTTAACTAAGATCTGTAGTTTACATTAGGGGCTACTCTTTGTGCTGTCATACAATACAATTTCACTGTCCCCCAAATCCCTGTGCTCTACCTGTTCTTCCCTTCTTCCCATTCGTTCCCCACTCTCTTCCTTGGTGACCACTGACCTATTTTCTGTTTCTGTATATAGTTTTGCCTTTTCCTTAATCTCATATAGTTGGAATGATGCAGTATATAGCCTTTCATACTATAGTGGCTTCTTTGACTTAGCAGTATGCATTTAAGGCTCCTTTGTGGCTTGATACTCATTTCATTTTGTTGTTGAATAGTACTATTTTGTATAGATGTACCACAGTTTATCCATTCACCTATTGAATAATATTTTGGTTGCTTCTAAGTTTTGGCAGTTACGAATGAAACAGCTGTAAACATTTGCACATGTGCACATAAGTTTTCAACTCATTTGGATAATGGAGTGCATTTGCTCGACCATGTCAAGCTTTGTAAGAAGTTGCCAAACTGTCTTCCAAAGTGGGCTGTACCATTTTTTAAATTCTACCATCAGTGAATGAGAGTTTCTGTTGCTTCACATCTTCACCAGCATGTGGTGTTTTCAGTGTTTTGGATTTTAACCATTATATTAGGTGTGTGGCAGTATCTCATAATTTTAGTTTGTAGTTCCTTAATAACATATGATGTTGAATATCTTTTCACATGCTTATTTGCCGTCTGTGTATCTTTGATGAGATATCTGTCAGATCTTTTGCCTGTTTTAAATATGGTCGTTTGTTTTCTTATTGTTGAATTTTAAGAGTTCTTTGCATAATTTTGATGCAAGTTCTTTATCAGATACGTGTTTTGCAAATATTTTCTCCCATTTGTGGCTTGCTTTTCTTTAGCCTTTTTTTTTTTGAGACTGAGTCTCGCTTTGTAGCCCAGGCTGGGCTCACTGCAACCTCCGCCTCCCGGGTCCCAGTTCAAGCAATTCTTCTGCCTTAGCCACCAGAGTAGCTGGGATGACAGGCATGTGCCGCTGTGCCCGGCCTAGCCTTTTGTTTTTAGTAATTCCTGACTTTCTCATACTGCAGTATGGTCCAGGTTCATATTATATTTTCCCTGCTGAGCCCTGTAGTTAGTCATTTCTCCAAGAAACTGTGGTTTCTGATTCCTTTTATTGGAGAATGGTATTTAGAAACCTGTATCTGGTCACTGGGTTTATTTGTTGCTACTGAGGTGTTATTCTAGGCCCTCTGGTGACTAGAGATAGGTAATATGTGTGTATATACTACTAACTCATGTGTATGTACATATCTACAATTGTTTCTGTGTCTATTCATCACTATACACTTTAAGCTGAATATGAGTTTATACTGATATCTGCGACTCTTAAATACCATAGGGTTGGACAGGCGTGGTGGCTCACGCCTGTAATCCCAGCACTTTGGGAGGCCTTGGCAGGCAAATCACGAGGTCAGGAGTTTGAGACCAGCCTGGCCAACATGGTGAAACCCCGTCTCTAGTAAAAATACAAAAAATTAGCTGGGCGTGGTGGCAGGCACCTGTAATCCCAGCCGCTCAGGAGGCTGTGGCAAGAGAATCGCTTGAACCCATGAGGCAGAGCTTACAGTGAGCTGAGATTGTACCATTGCACTCCAGGCTGAGCCACAGAGCAAGACTCCATCTCAAAAATAAAAAATAA